TATATATGATGTATATACATAGAGTGTATATATATCCTATTGGTTCTGTTTCTCTGGCAAGCCCTGACTAATGCAGGAGTCTCTGTCTGAGCCCCCGGACAGCCTCCAGCTGCACAACCTGCATGGCTGTGTGGGCAGCACTGAGCAGAAAGCAGGCCCTGGGCCTCCTGGAAGTGCTTGCTGATGGGATCAAACCCAGGCAGGGCTGGGGCAGGGCAAACAGAACCTCTGCAGGTGCGGAGTCCAGTCAAGGAGTGGGCCCAGGGCTCTGCCACAGCCATTCCCTGGGAAGACCACCACGAAGAGAAGTGGTCAGGAGGGCTGGGGGTGCTGCTCTAGGTTTGGAGGGAGGGAGTACTGGGAGTATGGATGGGGACAGAGTGTCCCACTCACCTCAGGGACCCAACATTCTCTGCTGCACAAAGCAGGTGTTTTCACCACCCTCATGATGTATCTCTATTTCCTGTTCACCAAACATGTAAATTTGGACACGAACCTTATTTTTGTGGGTCTAGGCTTCCTCAGGAAGATGCTGAGGTCACTCTCCCTCTGGGACCTGAGCCTGCAGGCTGGTCACCTGGGCACTGGCCCACAAGCTTCCAGCAGGTGCTTCCTCCCAAATACTTCCATGGGGCCAAGGCAAGAGCCGCAAAGGCCACCATGGGACCGTTCCCCTAACTGATGCTGTAAACCCAAGAAAATTCAGAATGGTGGTGGCTGGAACTGGGTGTGCTATAGCCCCGCCCCTAGGAGAGGGGAGGAGGATGCTGCCCAGCCCCTCTCCCCTGAGAGAGCTCCAGGAGCTGTGACTGCACAATTCAGGAGGCAGAGCTCTATGTCTGCACCATGTCCTGGGCTCCTGTTCTGCTGGTGCTTCTTGTTCACTGCACAGGTAAGAACACCCCAAATCTTGCAGCTCCTGACCCCTTTCCTTGCCCTTCGTTGCCCTGCTCCAAGTGCCCACGTGCTTCTGTCTCCCCAGGTTGTGGCCCTCAGCCCGTGCTGAATCAGCCACCGTTCGTGTCCTCGTCCCTCGGAACAACAATCCATCTGGCCTGCACCCTGAGCAGCGACCATGATGTCAGCATTTATAACATCTTCTGGTACCAGCAGAAGCCTGGCCACCCTCCAAGATTCTTGCTGAGATATTTCTCCCATTCAAATAAGAAACTGGGTCCCAATATTCCCCTGCGCTTCTCTGGGTTCAAAGACGTGGCCGAGAATACTGGGTATTTGACCATCTCTGAGCTGCAGCCTGAGGACGAGGCTGTGTATTACTGTGCTGTGGGGACCCAGAACTTAGAGAAGGAGAAGGAGATGGAGAGGGAGAGGAAAGAAGAAAAGGGGCCTGATGGTTCAGTGTCCCAGGCACCCCCGGACATGCTTACCATGAACTAAAGACAGAAGGGACACGCATCCCCGTGGAGGGAGCAAGGAGGAGGAAGGGTGGTATGCTGTGCAAAGCAGAGGCGATGCTCCTTGTCTAGCTAGGCCCTGTTGGAGGCTAGATTGGGGGATTAAAGCTGCTTGTATCTTAAGAAGTTGTTTTGCTGTGTTTCGTCTGACTGGTATGCTGAATTGTACTGAGTAGGCCCCAGCTGCTCAGAATGGGTGGGACGTACCCAAGAACCAATGTAGAACAAAATTCCTGGGAGACTGGCTGGTCATGGTCTGCTTCACTAGAGCCCCTGCGCTTGCGGGTTATGGGAGGCATGGGGCTGACATAAGCACCTTGGGAGACTGCTCTGGCCCAGGACAGGACCTTCTGCTGTCACCTAATTATTTGCAGGAGTTACAGGGTAAACAAGCATAGAAATGCCTTCACTGGGCCTCTGGGGAGGAGAGTGGGTGCCAGGTAACTGTTTAGAGCAGATGCTCTACCTCGGTACTATTAACATTTGGAACTAGACAGTTCTTTGTTGGGGTACCTGTCCTGTGCATTGTAAGACATTGAGCAGCATCCCTGGCCTCTGTGCACTAAAAGCCAGTATCTGCACATTTCCACCCCTAATTATGACAAATCAAAATGTCTTCAGGCATTGCTCGATGTCCCCTAAATGAAAACTACTAGTCCAGGTGAGAGAAATACATATACTCTTCTGTGCAAGAGAGCGGCAGTACTAGCAATTATATTTTCTGTAAAGGACCAGATTGTAAATAATTTTTCTGTAAAGGACCAGATTGTAAATAATTTTTCCAGGCCATATGATCTTTTTCTCAACTACTGAATTCTGTCTTTATAGCATGAAAGCAGCCATAGACAGACAATATGTAAAGAGATAAGTATGGCTGTTTCTACTTAACTTCATTTACAGAAACAGAGAAGGCTAGGCCGAATATGGCACTCCAACCACAGTTTGCCAACCCCTGCTCCGAGACCCCAGTTATGGCCTCCAGGTTTCAACCAAGCCATGCTTGGTGGGCTAATCAAGGTCATCCTCCACTCCTCCTGCCTGATGACCCCAGGGATACTAAACCTCTGGATCCATGGAAAGACCTGGAGGCCGGAGGGGTGCGACCTTACCAATCAATGGGTTTGTTGGGTGAAGAAGGAACAGGTGGATTCCTGCCACCCTGGCCCACAGCACAGGCAAACCATTTCCCCTGTGACCAAACATGGCTGAGAATGTCCATTTATCATAGCAGAAAAGACTCCGAGTGGGCCCCCCGGAGTGGGAGACGTTTTCGTATTGGCCCGTCCACATGCGGCCTCTCTTTTGTAAAATAATGATCTCAGCTCATGTCATGTTCCAGGTACCCTCTGAGCTCCCACTTCCTCAAAAGCACAGAGTTCTTATGGCATCAAGCCTTTGCCCCTGAAGAGGAGACTCCAGGCCCACGTTTCTAAAGGCCAGCTAGGTGTTTCCAAAGGAATTCTGTCTTCTGCCTATAGCCTACCCTTCTCCTGCTTTTATCCTTCGTGATTCCGGGATTCTGACAAGAAACCCAGAAAGCAGGAATCAGACGGGGCTCCTCCAACATCCTCACACCCCTGCCCCACCAGATTCCTGGAGGGTGAGACCCTGGATTCGGGCCTCGAGCCAGTCAGAGTGTGAGTCTTAGCTCTGGTCAGCCTTAGAAGGGTCGCTTGAATTCTAAGCCAACATTTCCAATGTTGTATGTAATGAATATAATAAGAGCCCAATTAATTTATATAAAGTGCTTATCTGCGCTTAATTGTAATGGGTGCTCAGCAAAATAGTAGTATCATTATTTTCTCATCAGTCACCTGGCCTGGCCTTCTCCCTTATCCAATCCTTTCACTTAGTTTGAGTCATTTCTCACCTTGACCATTATCTGGCCTCTTGCGTGTGCCCCTGCTGCAGCCTGTACCCTGCACCCCTCATCTTCATTCCTGCCACATCCAGCCTTGCCTGTGCCTTTCCTCTAACCTTGGATTATCTCTCACCCTCAAAGGCACATAGGCAAGCCAAATCTGTCATTTTTAATTTTCTGGTGGCTACATTTTTTTTAAAAAAGGTAAAACTAAACAGGTGAAATGATTTTCAATAATATATCTTATTTAACCTCGTTCATTCCATATACTATCATGTCAACATGCAGTCGGTATAAAAATCAGTTATCAAATGGTTTAAACTCTTTTTTTCTAAATCTTTGACATCTGTTGTGCTTCATCTCAATTTGGACCAGTCACATTCCCAGTGAGCAACAGCTGCTTATGGCCTGTGACAAGACAGTACAGGTTGAAGGGAGAAAATTCCGACTCCTTATTATGACATACTCTTTGGAGGCTGGCCTAGGCTCTGTCCCAAGTCCCATGTCTTGTACGCCCCCCTCACTGTTTGTGTCATATTAAGCCATTTACAATTGATCTGACACCTGATTCATTTTGTTGCCTCCAAACCTTTGCCCAAGCTGGCTGCTTCCTGTCCCTTTGCGGTGTCTTCCAGATGGCTGCACCAACTCAGGGTTCCACAATTATTTCAAATCTCATTCCTGGGTCAAGATTTCCTTGACTGCTTTATGCAGTTACTAACTTCCTGCAACATGCAAACACTTGTTTTCCTAACTATATTTAGCACCTACCACACAGCTCTGAATTTATTTCATGAGTCTCTCTCATCTACTAATCTGCAAATTCTCTGTGGGCAAGATCTGTTCAACTCGTTTTATGTGCGTGATAAATACTAGGTGATAACAGAGTTGGGTGAATAGATGATTGAGTAAATGAATACATGACTGAGTGAATTCTTGGGTTCCAGAGACCCTGCCATTCCAGCATCTCATTAGATAGCTGGGGTCATTATGATTTTCTAAGAAGGGAAAGCTCTGTCGCATTAGTGACTGGCCACATTCTGTCTGTCTGTCTGTCTGTCTGTCTCTCTCTCTCTCTCTCTCTCACACACACACACACACACACACACACACACACACACACACACACACACACACACACACACCCTGTGC